AAACAAACAATATCATGATGTTATAATACTCTGATGTCACCTCTGTTATATTAAATTAAGGTGAATTATAGTGAATTTATTATAAAAACTTGGGGAAACACTGCCAACATGTCTTTTGGATGTTGCGTCAATAAGCATTGTTCTGCAGAAATATATTCGGAATAACCGCCTACACCACCTAGGACAGGTTTATATATGCTTTATGTGAAATGCCTGAGAACCAGTGTGTGCAGAGTTGTGCAGTCTACTTCCTTTTACACACTTTCTATGTTCTTTGAAAAACATTACATTTTCTTTAACAAGAAGGTTTGAACTTATTGCTGATACTTAGTGTTCCCATTATCTCTGTAGAATCAGACAACTATGTCACAAAATTGAAATAATGTTCAATCTCAATAAAACTAATAAATAACATCTCAATACTGCTGTAACCCATCCTTTCTATGACGGATCTGTACACAGTTTGTATATGTGACCTGTGAGTCATGAGATGTGGTGGTTCAGGGTAGATAAAAAGGATCTTGCCCTGGAGCAAGACACTTAAACCTGCTTTGCTTCAAGGAGACCACCACTGTAAATTGGCATTATGATGGCATTATATGAAATTCATGCATATTCCACTTGCCTATGTGGTGATAAATATTCTAAATAAACAAAGACAATTTCTAACCAATGCAAAGTGACAAACGGTCTGTTTGTTTACAGCAGGTGCAGAAGAAATAGTATAATTAATGGGAGGAATTACAATGCATGAATTCAACTGATGGTCCCTCAGATTACAAGGTATTGTATCTGTGTGTTTACCTGCAAATACGTGAATGTAAAGCCTTTCAGGGCAGCTTTAGTGAAACTAAAAAAAATTTCACTAAAGGCAGTTACCTTCAGGAGCTATTCCAACATGTCCATCTATATTCAGGTAGAATAGATTAACAATTGTAGGATTAACAAATCCTAGTTACAGTTACCCAATTATTCCTGTGAGGACATGTTTAATGTATAAATAGGTATGGTGTAAAAATTAGAACTGTATCTTTACTTTTGGGCATTCGAAAACATATATCTGCATTTTTCTACTGTAATAGTGTGTATGATATATGATGATCTCATTGAATGAAAACAAACATAGATTATACAGACACACTCTAGTTTTTCTCTCGCTGCAGATCAGGACACATACATTTAAAGACTGATGCCAGTATAGTCACAATGAAGGCATCCAAAATGCATTTGAAATCTGAATAAAACAGTAATATGTAAACAATGTGATGTCACTACCTGTGCTTGGCTGCCACCTCTCTCCAACCTTAGTCAAGGTAGACGCAATACTGAACTATATGTAGATGAGGTAGATGATAAGGCTGTAAGGAAGAATTGTATGTGCTTATAGGTCCTAGATCACATGTACTTTTCAAAACTCACAACCTTTAGAACTGTTTTATTAAGTTTTTGTCTACTGAAAGGTTTTTTGGAAAGAACAATCACCGGAAGACCAATCTGTATGTTGTTAAAAAACAGCAGGCCTAGAATCCAGTGAATCCTTTAAAAATTTTGAATGAAAACTAACTTCAAATGAAAAGATGTGTGTGCTGTTTTACAAGTACGTGGGAAAGTTTTATAGCCTGTCCCATAGTTATTGTTCCTAACTTCTCTCTTAAATTTATGTAAACCTTAAATGTATGTAAAACTTTCAAAACAATGTTCATGAAATCACCATATATTGTCATTAGTATTTATTGAATGTTCTTCTCATAATGAGGCAGAAAACATTCTTTGAACAACATTCTTCATATGTCCTTTAAATATTAAGGATCAATACAGAGTTCTGGCATGAAACTCTAGATGGCACAGTCCGATAGGTCTAACTCAATCTGACGTAATGACATCATTATCACATGGCACAGTTGATTGGTTCTCTCCTGTATCGGTAGCCAATGAGCTCGCTGCTCAACTTTCAAATAGATGACTAGTGCTTGCCGTAGCAGTGCAGCTTGCTTCAGAAACCCTCCACCTTCCCCAGCTCCACCTGTATAGATCTGCTACGAGGTATGCTATGTGGGAATCATTTCATGTATGATATATTTGCAGCAGCAATATTTCTTACATGCTCACAGCAGCATGTTGTGGATGTTATTGGCAGTAGCAAGTCTCGGTACTTGCTCTGCCGCAACAGCAGCGTAGCAGATCTATTCCGCCAAGACCAAATACATTAACATTGTCATGTGCATTACCATGCCAATCCCTCCAAGAGTTGTAATAACAGAACTAAGTTTCTGGCTTAAAAATGGATTAAGGTTGGATGTTACGCAAAAGAATCCCCTGTGTTTAAAGAATACTACTCAGTGTTTTTATGTCCACACTACAGAGTGTTAAAATAACACTGAAGCCGTGATTGAGATAATTAAGTAATGATTGAGCATTAGTGATGACACACTGAAGGAAAGAGGAACAAACATTTGCAATCACCACTGTGGTGATCAGCGGTTTGTTTGAGCACTAAAACCTTGAGTGACTTGAGTCAAAATAGATATTTTAATGTTTCAATATTTTTTTTTTGGAAAATGTTATTACAACAAAACTGTTAGCTTTGAAAGTAGATAAAAACAACTGATGCTAATGTAGCTGTTGGAAAGTTTCAGAAGAAAATATCCACTGTTGATGTGGAACCAAGTGTTTCTCATGTGACAACAACAGCAAAAATGAAAATCAGTGGGACGTCATGCCAGTTAGCAGAATTAAAAAATGATGGTCAGGAGGTGAGTCAGACTGATACAGAAAATGAAAGTAAGGTCTTACAGCAAAATCTGACAGAAATAAAGTCAAACTGCTTAGTAATATGTGAACTTTTGTGGAGTTGTTTAATCATCCATATCTTCTTTTATTTGAGTTTATTTCATTTAAGGCTGTGGCTGGAAGTCATCTGTAGTTCTTGTGTTTCTCTTTTTTCTGTTCTTGTTGTTTCTCTTTCCTTCAGTGATTCTGCTTGCCAACAGCAAGTGTTCATCACTAATGCACAATCAGCACTTTTTTACTTTTTTATCTCAGAGTGGTTTACCATTCGAATATATACAGTGTAGATGACATCAAGAATTCAGTGAAAAAAAAGTCAAAATGGATAACAGTCGCCATTTGTGTTTGTTTTGTTGGGATGTGTATATTTTTATATTTAAGGGAGTAGTTAACTATGCTTCTAGAGAAAGTAGGAAAAGAGCACAAATGTTTGAGATATTGCAGAAAAAAACGTTTTATTAATACAACAAACACATAGTGATTTATTAAATGTTTCAGATGGGAAAAGGAATTTGATGGGTTATCAATTTTATGTACAATGGACAAAATGATGTGCTTTTTATCCATAATCAAGCTTAAAGAGGTATAACAACGTACATACCAGCAGATATAACTGGAGTAACTGCTACCAAAATCAACATAAGCAGGTCCAATATTAGCTGATCTCAAAGTGAAGGCCTGTAAGTGAACTTGTGCATGTTTAAAATGAGTTTACTTCCTTTGAGAAAAAGTGCTGCTGAACTGCAGCTAATCCAGATAAACTAGCTCTGATTAAATGGGGAAAATATGAAGAAAATAAAAAGCATGGAGTACTGTATTATTTATACAGTATTTTTCTATCTTTTTTTTATTACATAGAAATTATAGGGGAATTACAGTTAAACCCCTTAGAGAGCAATATGCTCAATGAAGACCAAATTTGAAGTTCAAACATTTGACAAAGCGTTTATTGAAGACAGAGTTCTCCACACTTCCAAATGCTGTAATAAGTATGAGGAGCCAAGCTCAAACTAATTTAGAATATAGAAACACTAGTACTTAGTCATATGGATGATCTGTTGACGTCATTTCTAGAGGTTCTGATAGGTTAACATACAGATAATTCTAGCAACATCCAAACATGGTATTCTTTTCTCAAAGATGGTATCTTGGAGACACTAAGTCCCATTCGTAAGCAACTATCTTAAGTATCGTGAGTTACAAATCTTGATCTGACAGCTGTTGATTCTCCTGGAGACTGTTCCTTGGCCCTAGGCAGTCTGATTTTTATGTCTCATACAGTGATCATGAAAATCACAAAATAAAATGAATAAGAACAAAGTTCAAACTGATAACACTTTTTTTAAATAAAATATAATATTTGATTATTTAATGAGACTGATGAGTTATTGCAAAACAAATACATATTTATTCTCTGGAAGCCAGGCTGAATGAGTAAACACTGTTACTGCATTCATGACATGGTTCAGAGCCTCAGTCACCTCTCAGATACCAAATACAGACATTGCTTATAACATAAATACCAGAATAGATACACTAGTTTTTAGAAAACTATGAACCTATTCATTACATACTAGAAGAGGATTGGCAATCCATCCCTTCAAATGGTAGCTCTCCAGCAGAAGGGTTAGATACCCCTGCGCCAGTGATTAAGACAACAGGTGAAGACACAAAGAGATACTCTGAAAGCTTACAATTGAAACAGGTCATGGATAATTGGTTTAATAGAGGCATTGTGTTGTTGAATCCGGTTAGAAGTGATGGCAGTATTGGATACGAAGAACTTGTACTATTTTAATCTGCCAGCAAGACATTTTGATTCTATTGTTAAAGCTTTGACATTGAATTATGTGCACTAATTAAGAACTTTTATTGGACAGAGTTTGTCTTTTTGGTGAAAAAAAAGAAGAAGAAAAAAAAGTATAGGCCTATATACAAAAATAAACTTGTTACACATTTTTTAAAATAAATTTGAGATTGTAGAGAATTAGGAAATAGCAACAAGCAAATCACACCAAAAAGGCTCTGCAGCATCCACCCACTCTCTGTCAGCCTGCGTATGCTCTCAAACTACTTACTAAACATGCATATATATATATATATATATATATATGCATTTTTTTGCTATATAAATCTGTAGTTCACCTTGTAGCTGTTGGTTTGGTTCTTGGCTTATGGTACTTTTGTATTGTGTGCTTTTTCACGCATATAACCAAAGCTTCCTAAGCACAGACAGAAACACAGTAATGGTGAATATGTAAAGAACCAAGAAGGTCGCATTTATGATTCTTGCCACTCTGGTCCAGCACAGAGATGTCTTCTCTCGCTGGTTTTGTTGAATTGCAGCACAACACTCAGTAAGGATCTGCTTCAGAAGGTCAAGGGTACAAGACTGTTCTTCATTCTGATCTGTAAATGAGTCTGGAGGGCTCTGCAGGTCTCTGACACTGTCTATGAGAGGGGGGAAAAGCAAAGCATGGCTCTGGATAAACGCTGCATTTTGTGATCTGCATAGTCTCATTTTTTATTTTTTTCGCTGATACTCCATTTTAGAAAAAAAAATGAAAACAAATGTTTGTTTCATATGTGATTATGTGGTTTTACATGTGTTAATTTCTGACTTTAAATGCTATTTCCATCCATCTATCTATCATCCAAACCGTTCGACTTGACAATAAACATTGATGTTTAAAACTGCTTATTTAGACTTACATGGTACCCTGTGTGTCATATTTTACTTTAAACTCAGGAGGTGAACTAATCATTTCTGTTTCCGATACAGACTGTATAGCTTCAACTGGATGTGACGTGACAAAAGAATGAACGACTCAGGAGATGAGGTTAACTAACAGACTGCAAAGCCTGAAGACCTAGCTAAGCAATTAAGATGAATAATTTCTGCTTCTTAAAATGTGGCCTTGGCTGCATTATAGAGTTGACTTATATTCGAAATGTGATCAGTGTTTGCACAGTTAGACATGCTGGGGAATTAACCTAATAAACCTTAATTTATAAAGTGAAAGTATAAAATACTGGAAAATGTTGCTCATAACCAGATGCTGTGTAGTCTCTTACCATCTTGGCCAGTAACAGTAGCTGTTGTTTCCACTGATATCTTCTCAGCTCCTTTAGCCTTCAGAAAATTCACAAGGATGGTCTCCAGAATGCTGATGCCAATAAGAATGAAAATCCCACTGCAGAAAATCCCTGTGAAAACAGCAAACTATGACTGCAACAGCTTTCCTTTGCTATTATGAACTTTAAAAAAAAAAATGGTACAGAAGTTGTCACTGGGGCAGAACCTTTAAAATGTTCCACTTAGGTACTAAAATGTATACTTTGGGTACTAATATGTAGTGTAAAGGTACTAACATGCACTCTTTAGGGGTAAATACATTACAAAGGTGTTGCTCCGTGACAGTTTTTGTACTTTTTTTTTTCCTGAGCATGTATGTATAATGTACTGTTTGAATATGCAAATGAAATTGTAAAAGGCAAACTTGACAAAACAATGTCCAAATAAGTAAAAATGTTCAATTGATGTAATTTGAGAGGGATTTTCGACTTTTCCGTCTTAAATCCCTAAATTCTAAACTATATTTCATTTTAAGAGAATACTCTAGGTTTAATGCATATCGTTTGATCACTGTGACTTCATCTGAGCTTCAGTTATAGGACTGCATTCCTAAAAAAAAATAAGGTCCATGCTAGACTCACCAATCAGTGGGAGTTGTTCAGCTGTAGAGGGCAGCGTGTCATTAAGAATCAGCAGAAACACAGAAATAGACAGCAGTAAAGTCACTTTAAAACTCAGCTTGTCTGTTGCACGTCCATCTATGAAGAAGGACATCACATCCAACACAAGGAAGACTAATACTGGTATTATGATGTTTATGACATACAGTAGAGGTCTCCTCTTGATGGTTATCTGCCATGTAGACAGAGAGAGTAACATTAGCATCATGATGAACGTGATGTTGTCTGTGTAAATAATATTAAGGCAATAAATAAATGAAATACGGTTGGGCAGTATACCAGTTAAAACGGATAACCATTAAGGTCTCTTATTACCAGTTGTAATATTTTAATTGCACAGCTCTCTAATCATAATTGTCACTATTACGAACTGAATTAGAGAGCTACATATATTGTTAAGTTATTTATCATGAAATAAAATTAATATCATTATATATGAATTTGGTCATATTGCCTATTCCTAAACATGAATATTGTTTTTATTTTTATTTTATTGATGATACAGTTTTTGTAATGTTCTCGATTAATTAAATCCAAAATAAACTTCAAAGCTTGGTTAAAATGTAAACTTTAATTTTGTCTTTTATTTCACATTTTCAAACTAGACATGTAAATTCCTTGATTATCTCCTAATTCTGTCCAGAGATGACAGAGTCATAGTGGCATAGTGACATTAATGTACACAGTGAGAATTGTAAACATAAATGCAGGATATGTTTTGCCATTTTGTATTAATTTTTAAGCATATGTTTGACTAACAAATGCAACATTCCTTTTCTAATAATTCACAAATGCAAAATGTGCTGTGACCCCTGCTGTCAGAGGAATGGGATTGAAAAGCCTGTTAAAATGAGTGACTTTTCTGCTCTGATGGAATGAATGACAAGAAGCTAAAGTTCTGTCATGACAACTCTCTGAAGATTTTGGCATGGTAATGGTTATGGCAATGTTAATGTATTTGGTCTTGGTGGAATAGATCTGCTACGCTGCTGCTGCTGTAGTTGTAGATTATTGCTGCTGCTGATGCAAGCAAGTACAGGAACTTGATACTGCCAATGCATACGGCGATACGGTTCTGCATTTAACACATACTGCTGCTGCACAAATAGCATATAAAATAACCCGTAGCAGATCTATACAGGTGGAGCTGGGGAAGGTGGAGGGTTTCAGAGGAACCCTGAAAGCAGGCTGCAAAATGCTAGAGTGGATGCTAAACAGTCCTTTAAATGTAAAGCAGTAAGCTCATTGGCTGCATATGCAAAGTGAACCAATCAGCTTGTGTCAAGTCATTTAACGCTGTGAAATCATTGGTTACATTAAGAACCCCTCAGCCTGCACCATCTAGAGCAGGTATGGGCAATTTTGATAGTGACGAGGGCCAGCATTTTTTCTCCTTTATACCAAGGGGCCAGATTACTAATCCATGTCCACACACCTTTTACACCACCTTACTCAATTTCCTTTTTATTGAAGGAAATTAAAGTATAACTAATGTAATTTGTTTTTAAAGATTTTATTAAGTATAAAACTTGTGCAGTTATGCTAATTTAGGAGGAAAACTTTGTTGTCAGTGGACAGAAATATTACCCCGACAAGCCAATGTAAACATTTCAATTGCATTGTCTGTAAATTTGCAACAAACAAATATACAGAGGTCCTTTTTATTAGTAGCCTACAGAACATTCTCAAAACAACCTAAAAGGACAGTTAAAACGGGCTTCATAAAAAAAAAAGAAAGTTATTCCAGATGGTACCGTAAAATAACCTGGTATCTGCAGGATTTAAGACCTTTTTAAGATCTGCACTTCACATTTCAGCCTTTAAACATTTTTTTAAGAAAAGGGATGAGTCAAAAGTATCAATTATTATATTAATTTAAACAATTATTATCAATTAATTATCATATGAAATAACATATAAATATATCTTAGTGTCTTAATTGTTTAGATTTTTATAATGCATTAGCTTTTTGTCGATCCACTGGTTCACATTTAAAAATATGTAGCAAAAATAACAGAAGGACTTATTGAAAAAGCAAATTCGTTCTCTGCCAGCAGGTTTCACTTTCGAAACTGCATATAGTGGTTTCCCCGGTAATCGCAGTACACAAAGCTGATGTGCAGCGCTCAAGTTTATTCAGTGAAATCGTAGCCTTTTGAAGTTTAATTGTCATATTAATCCATATAGCAATTCTTGTCTTTCCGTCATCAAAGACCTCGTATAATTGAGACTTTTTGCACCATTTAAGAGTTTGCATGGCATTAAATGTAAACAATTTAACTGAAGACGTTTTAAAGACCCGCGGAAACCTTAATAAGAACAGTCCAGTGCAAACATTTCTGTCATACATTTGGCAAAAAGCTTTTGTTGACTATGAATTTTACCTTTGAAATTTGAGGCAAGTGCAACTCTGGCGTCCCCATTGTTTGTGAGCAGTAGTGTGATGGCGATATAAATAAAATACAGATTTCCAAACAATCCAAACATATGGGTATCCCCTTGAACTTGGTAAAAAGATAATCTGTTTACTATCTTGACTTGAAAATACTGTTTTCATGGTCAGTTTTTAATTTATTATTTGCTAATGTTAATGAATGTTTACGTTAGAATGCACATCCTACGTTGAAATTAATAGGGGAGCGGCTGGAAACTAGCGACCTCTCCTGGTTGGAGATAGTATTAACATCATAAACTGAAAGCAATCTTTACGTGACTTGCTTTTCAAATGTTTTTAAATTGATCATCCGAGTCTAATATGATCCAGCGGGCAGTACTAAAAGACACTGAGGGCCGTATATGCCAGTTGCCAATCCCTGATCTAGAGTTTCATGAAAGAACTTGGCCTATTTTACAGGAAAAGTTACAGTGGCCAAGGAATGCAAAACAAATCTTAATTCTGTAAGCAAAATAACAAATCCAAAAATAAAACAACAAATTATAAACACAATGGCAAGTCCAAAAACGAAAAAAGTCAGAAAACACAACAAAAACATCTGTCAGTCAAGACCAGCAGAAAGTACAGCATGCTGCAGCAGTAGAAAATTCTCTCAGTAGAAACAGTTCCCTATCGATACTTCACTCGTACTGCATCTGTTTAAGACGCTTGGGGAAAACTCCTTTTTCTTCGATGACTGAAGCCTTTCAATAACGCAGTGTAACTGCACGGCCATTGGTTCTTGCAGTGAATAAAATATACGAACCAATGGCTCGGCAGCGGAGCCGTGATCAAGCCTCGCAGTGGATCGAGAGACCCCCTTCCTGCTCGGCCATTCTCGCCGCTCTCACGCCTGTAGCAGCAGCGACGGTCTCCAGTTCCCTGCCGCTATCCGGCAATATAAAAGAGCAAATTTCAGAGCAAATTTTTGGCGTTGTTTCAAATGCCGCGCCGTGACCATCAGCGCGTGCAGGGGGGGCGCTGAAGCAGCACTCATTGAGATGGAATGTCCTCATTGCGAGGATATGAGTCTCGCCTCTCTGCGCTCATGGAAAGCTTTCTTTTCAGAAAGCGACTCTGCCCCTCGCACCCTGCCGCTTTCTCCCTCCCAGGAGCCTGTGAGGAAAAATCAGCAGGGCAGACGAACTCGGCGCTCTGTGATGAGAGAGCCCACGCCGGCTGAGCCCCCGCGTGCCTCACTCTCTCCGCTCAGAGAGGTTTCTCCAGTCCACTTCTCCCTCCCAGACCAGCGTCCCTCTGCGGCTCCGAGCGATCTGGTCTCATTTGGAGGAAGCGAGTGTGACGCCATGGACGAAAGGCTGTGGCTCGTACGTCGACCCCACCCCCTTGCTTCACCATCCTTTTTGGAGGTCCAGGACGAGATCACCAGGTCTTGGCGTGCCCCCTACTCGGCCTGCCTTCGTGCCACATCTTCCTCCGCCCTCACATCAGTCGACGGCGCCGAAGAAAAAGGATACAACAGACTGCTTCCCCTGGATGAGTCAGTGGCCGCGCATCTCTGCCCGCCCATGGCCATCGGCTGGAAGGCAAAGGCGGCCCACCCGTCCAAGCCGTGTAAGGCGACTTCAGCTCTCGCCGGACGAGCCTACTCGTCTCTGCTAGACAAGTGTCCTCTGCGCTTCATTCCATGGCGGTCTTACAAGTTTTCCAGGCCAATCTCCTCCGTTGCATGGACGAGTCCGCCCTGGACCCCGCAGCATTTAAGGAGCTGCACAGTGCGACTGACCTGGCTCTATGCACCACCAAGATGACAGCACAGACGATTGGCAGATCCATGGCCAGCCTAGTGGTGCTGGAGCACCATCTATGGCTAAACCTCACGGAGATCAAGGATGCGGATAAGGTCCCCTCCCTCGGACTCCCCGGTTTCCCCTACTGGCCTGTTTGGACAAGCGGTCGAGGGCTTCACTGAACGCTTTACCGCTGCGCAGAAGTTGTCCCAAGCAATGCGACACTTCCTGCCAAAGCGCTCCAGCTCAACGGCTGCTTCTAGTCACCCGAAAAAAGTGCCGACTCAGCATCACGCGAAGCCCGCACCACCAGTTGCTCCCACGTTCCAAACGTTGCCCGTTCTAATCGCATCCACACAACCAACCGCTGTTATAGCAGGTAAAAAATAAAACACAAACATTTTCAAAAAGAGAGCAAATTTCCTCTTCCACTCATTGCGAGTGTCGGGTCCCCCCTAAGCGGCCCACCGCTCTAACCAATCCAGCCCCTTGCCACGCGGGCCGAGGCCTGGCAGGCCATCCCCGGAGTGTCAAGCTGGGTCATGGGGATAATAAAATTAGGTTACACACTCCAATTCGCTCGAAGACCCTCCACCTCGGTTCAGAGTGAGGATGCACATGTCTTACGTGCCGAGGTGATGAATTTGCTGGCAAAAAGAAGCCGTAGAAATGGTTCCCTCAGCCGAGAGTGAGTCAGGCTTCTACATCCGTTACTTACTCGTCCCCAAGAAAGATGGCGGCCTAAGGCCCATTCTCGATCTCAGGTGTCTGAATCACGCCCTCATGAGATGGCCGTTCAGGATGATTACATTTAAACAGATCCTCTCCAAAGTATGCCCAGTGGACTGGTTCTTTTCGCTGGACCTGAAAGACGCTTACTTTCACATCCAGATAGCCCCCTGTCACAGACGATTCTTGAGATTCGCCTTTGAGGGAGTGGCTTATCAATACACGATCCTTCCCTTTGGACTGTCCCTAGGTCCTCGCACTTTTACGAAGTGCATGGATGTGGCTCTTTCCCCGCTGAGACAGACAGGAATTTGCATTCTGAATTACCTCAACGACTGGCTCATTCTGGCCCAGTCGGAGGACAAGCTACTATCTCATAGATTCCTCCTCCTCAGCCACTTAGAATGCCTGGGACTCAGGGTCAATTTTACCAAGAGCGCGCTGTCCCCCATCCAATGGATATCATTCCTGAGAACAGTTTTAGACTCAGCCCAAATGAGGGTGATAGCCACGCCAGAACGTGCGCTGGCCATTCAGCAGCTC